CTATAGTATAACTCTCCACTAGCGATTCTGTCAACTTAAGAGTAATATTGGTAGCACCATACTTATATATTTATAGAAAAAAAAAACTTTAGAGGTGTCAAGTTACACCCGGATGGAACGAAGTCCCTTTTTTACAACACACACACACACACACACACACGTATATGAAAATATATATATATATAACATATTAGCAGCATGGCTCTATCACGTAAACGTTACGTCAATTGGATAGTCTTGGTTGTCAGATCTATGGTCGTCCATAAAACTCTAGGGTGCAAATCCCGTCAAAGGATTTCTGAGGACTTAACCTAGGCTTACGTCGCTATAGTATTTTATTTATCGTTACATTCATACTGGTTGATTTTAATTGATGTTACAATTCTTACTGTCTCCAAACCGAATTTCTGTCACGGTGGCCAGTCTCGTCGGATACCAACCATCTGAGCAGAACAGGATTATAGAGTCCGAGTGTAACTGTGGTGGAGCCATGCTGCAGTTATATTAGTAGTATAGTTGTAGCACAAATGGGTCGGCTCGACCGGGGAGGACCACGCTCTCACAGAATACCAGCGTAAAATAGTAGCTTAATGCTGCTGTGTTTCGTATGGTGAGTGTAGAGAACCGGAGACCCTTTTACTGGAAACGAGGCATTCCACCCATCCTCACGGGTGACAACGCATCTGCATTTTGATTCGTAATCAAGGATAGATGTACATGTCTATGGGCCATAGCAACCACTTACCATCAGGTGGACTGTGAGCTCGTATGTCACCCTATCCTATAAAAAAAATATTCAAGAATAGGTACACTCTCTATCCTCTCACTCATCATAGTTCGATGAGACGGTAACGACCCGACACGACCGGAGTGAGATCAAGGACAGGTACCAACGGCTTTACGTGCTTTTTGACGCACGGGGGTTAAACACCGCCAACTCTCTAACTCCGGGCTGCTACTGAGAAATTATTTATAAAACAATTTACAAAAAATGATTTTGTCCCGACCCGGGATTCGAAATCGGGACCTCATGATCAGCGATCGCGCTTATAACCACTAGACCAATGATGTAATCAAAGCTATATTAAGTACCTATATTATTTGATTTATAAAAATATTTTTATTTTTAAGAACACTGAAGTCAAGGCCAGAGTATGATAAAGTCGTAATTTATCATACACTGGCCTTTTTATTCAAAATTGATTTTAAAGCACTTTTTGAAAGTTAAGTAGCTGCGCCTACGCCCTCGCACTAAATAAAGACTTCATCCTTCTAAAGTCGTAATTTTCTGCAAATAATCTCCTCACATCATTACGATATCGCCCTTGAAAAAACCCTAAAAGATGAAGTTTTCGACACAAATTGCATAGACCCCATTGCGGGAGTCCTTGTGTGCAGAAGCGTGAAGATACTTACGTTACGTAGATTATTTTTCACACAACAGTTAGAATTTAACCCTAAATATATGTAGTATATTTAGTATGTATTTATATAGTATTTGTATAGTTTTTTTTATTAAATAAATGTATAATCTACACCTGGTTATACATTTACGAGTACTTACTCATATAATTAGTTGCCGGTTTTATGAAGCCTCCACTTTTTTACATTAAATTGATATATTACTCATGTTATATCTATGAATATTATGATATAAGAAACAAAAAACATTTTTCTAAAGGAATGAACGGGATGACTGGCAGAGAATCCTGACTGGCATAGTTATCTTAGTTGTAAGGTTTACAATAAAGAATAAATAAATAAAATAGTTTATTTCATAAACAATATTATCCAGAATGATAATGACGCTCATGTAACAAGTAACATATTAAAAATATCTCTGAGTGAGTCCCTTGGCGTAATATTCTCTGAGCTCGGAAAAGCTGTTTTTTAGTAATTTAAAAGTATTTAGTAATATAATACAATAGTTTAGTAATTTTCGTAGTATTAAAATTTTTTTAATATCAGCTAATGATAATGTATGATATATATTATTATATTATCAAAAAAAAATTTTTGCTGGGATATTTTTATTGCTTGATCTTTTTTCTTATCTTCTTCTATTCTTTATCTACACTAGATATCTATACTAAGCGATCTACAAATAAAACTAACCTGTCAATTATCTGGCGATATTACGATTATCTATGTACAGCGATCGTTTTCGATATCAATAGCTGGTTCTGTTTCTTACGTAATGTCAAACCCCCGCGGAGCGCGCGAAACAGTACCGTTTGTATACCAAGCGTGTTTAGGACTAAAAACTAAAACTAATATTCCGAAACTTAATTGCTTAGGTGACGTAACTTAAGGAAATACGCCAGATAAAATTTAAGAATTTTCTTACGTGGAATGACAGATAGATACTGTCTTTTTGTTTTTAATCAATATCTATATTAATTCCTTTTCCTTTTTAATATATTAGTGACAAATGGTAGCTCAATTAAAGACATTATATTAACTATAGTTTTATCTTGTAAGAGACAATCGGGTCGTAATTATATACGTTTTTTTATCTTAAGTAACTGGCTTGATACCTTGGTTAAGCATGTGTGAACTACGGCTTGGCAACATCATTATCGTTATGTGCGAAATCTAAAACGTACTGATTAATATACTCTTTCTTCAAATATATTAAAATGAAACCACAAAATATAGCTCTTTCTTTTGAGATGGATCTCTTATGTAGGTAATGGAATCGCCTCGATGTTAGTCTGCGAGTGTCATGGAGATTTTTTACAGTCTTTCAAAAAAGACTCCTGAACAAAGGCCTCCCTTAATTAATGCCACAAAACACACTCATAAATCACTGCACCCATCGACTTCTTTGCATATCTTACCAGGTCGTCACTTCATCTAGTGGGGGGCCACCCGATATACCTACTTCGCTCATAGTTACCAGGTTGCCATTCGAGAGCCTTTCTTTCCCATCGGTTTGTTGTTTTTTCGAGTTATATTGCTGGCTCATTGCCACTTCAGCTTACTAATCCCTTGAGATGTCTGTTGCTCTGGTTCTACTGTGGATATCCTCATTTAAAGGTCTATCACGCAGAGAAACTCGCTCGCTGAGCAACCTTGAACTTTCTCATACGGCCAGCAGTGAAGGACAACGTCAGATTCATAATATATCATCACTGGCAACACGAACTGGTTGTATAATCTTGTTTTCAAGTTTTTAGGTACCTACCTATACCTGAAGAGAAGATATGTTGTAACCTTCTGAACGCTGCCCAGCCTAGTTAAATTCGTCAATAGACCTCTCGGTCAAAGTTGGAGTTAGTCAGACTATTTATCCTAGGTAAAACATACATGTCGACAACTTCGAGCTTAGTGTCACAGAATATTATATAATATCGATTATTCACGGTAGTTAGATTTCTGTGGGTTGAATGGTCTAAGGCTCCTAACAATTACCGACATATGTGTGACAAGGAAGTTTTTACACAATACCTTTGATTATTAGTTCATTTAAAAACCGACCGTTGGAAGACATTTTAAATAATTACATTAAATGAAATTGGACTCTTAAATAACTTTATGTCTTATTTTATTATAAAAAAATAAAATTTCGTTGGTTATACAAATATTTGATATCATCAACAATCAAATAAATTTTCTTCATCAAATCACCCAATACTACCCTCATACCCTACAAACCTGAACGCACTGGTAACCAACTCTCCAAAAAGATCCAACAACCTGTGTTCAGCAGTGGACTCTTAATAACATGTAACGGAGAGTCAAAATTAGCTCGTAAACTCAAAACACTACACTACACAAAATACACTGCCAGTATGTCGCCCTTTTACTTTCCGAACTTGGCTGACACACTACCGAGTATCTCGATCCAACATTTTTGAAACAGCTTTAAGCCTCTTTTAAAAAAGGAATTTATTCAAAATGATTTCTAATATTTACGCGCAAACTACACATTAAATGAAACTATTTTTTTACGGATTTTTTCGCGTTTAACTTAACTTTTTAATTCCCAACGTTTCGGGTGCTTTACAGCACCCATGATCACGGACGGAACTGAGGGGCCAAGTACCATGGGTACCATGCCAAGTTTCAAGTTTCTCGTTAAGGTGAAATTAATCCGTCGCATTGCTTCTGAACATATTGGCGGATGCGGATTCACATGTCCTCGAGAACTATATTACACTACGTTTTTATAGAATAAGAGGACAAACGAGCACACAGTTCACCTGGTAAATGGATACTGTGGCATTGGTCACAGCATCCATTTATCATCATACGAGGATAGATGTAGATTGCTCAATAGCAGTCTATCCTCGGTTAAAAATCACAATGCAGATGGAATGCGGGAATGCCTTTATTTTGTGAGAGCGTGGTCTTTCCTCGGTTGAGCCAACCCATTCGTGCTACAACAACGATATAGCTGCAGCTTGGCTGCAAATAACAATGCAACCACAGCAAATAACTACTTACATATCACAAGTCTTCGCTTAAACTATATACATCCTTCGGAACATTGGAATATTATATATTTCGGAAAACACAGTCTAGAAGTAAATTTTTTAGATACCTTATAATTCATATTTTATATCTTGATATTTTCCGGATATTTCTTTCATAAATGTTCCGTTTTACTGACAAGACACTAAAATACGCTTGTATTAGTAAGGATCAAATACTTTAAAATTTCAAGTTGGTATTGAACAAGGTCAAGATGTTTCTTAGCCAAAATGGGTTAATTAACTAGAATAAACTTCTATGAACTGTAAGTCAGAAAGTTTTACCATCTAGAACTCCATTAATACTACTATCAAGTAGGACTGTAGTCAAGCACTGGCTTAGAGAATTTAAAAAACATAAAATAAATTAACTTAATAACTGGAAACACGGAAGCAGTCGATGCATGGAATAGTGTCTTTGGTTAGGACCGTGTTTTGAACATGATGGTGATGATGTTAACGATCAAATTAACAAATTTTAGCTTATTGTTTTATAAAACAAGAATTTAATTAAATAATACTCACGGCTAAATTGACGCTTCAATCGACGTAACAATCAGTCACAATATTATCGCCTAATCTCCTACTGAAACAACCGCATTCAGTTTTATATAGCTACGTACTAGCTCTGCTATATCTAATCTTTATAAGTGTCGGATGTATATCGCGTGTCAACATAGAGATAGTATTTTCTACTGTCCAGATTAAATAATTTCTGACCAAATTCCGAAATAGATTTAAAGATTTTTCTTGATGAGATGTCTTCTTCTGAAATTCTACAAAATTCTTAAATAGTTAACGCAGTCAGTGTTGACTAATTAAGAATTTTGTATATGTATACTTAGGGATGCATCCAAACGCGTTTCTGCCTACTAACACTAGATTTTTTTATAGGATAGGGTGACAAACGAGCACACAGTCTACCTGATGGTAAGTGGTTGCTGTGGTGTCCTCGATTACGAATCAAAATGCAGATGTGTTGTCACCCGTGAGGACTAAGATGGAATGCCTCGTTTCCAGTAAAAAGGGTCTCCGGTCCTCTACACTCACCGTACGAAACACAGCTGCATTAAGCTACTATTCTACACTCGGTGTTCTGTGAGATTTGTGATATTTATGTTTAGTGAATTAAAAAGGTTTCGACCCGCCTGCCTAGCGTGGCAACTATGGCAAAATCCCCCCTCTGAGGCAATCATAGTAGGGTAGACTCAATGTTCGCGTAGATTTCGAAAAAGACTCGCTAAAAAAAATACCAAGTAGCAAAAAAAAAAGAAAAATAATTAGAACACATATTCCAACTCCTCTACCCACCCACACACCGTCGCCAAAAAAGCGAATGAAATCGCACACAGAGGAGCGTGCGTATGGGCGTTGCCCATAAATTTCATTCAATTTGGTATAATTTCAAATAAAAGTGGAAGTCTTATTGAGTCGTATTTTCAAAAACTGAAAAAAACGGTAAGTATATCATTATTTATATATTTGAAATTAAGAATTTTTCTTCAAATTTAAATGAGACCAACTTAGAGGTATATTAGCCCATTCATTAAAAAATAATCATTAAAATTTGTTTACATCAACTCAACACTGAAATCAACAAAACAAAAACTGAATACTACTAATACTTGACGAATTGACTTCCTTTTTTAAGTCGATTAAAAATTAAATAATTTTAGTAAAATGCAGTATCCTTAGTCTTGTGTTAAAGGCGATTTCGCAAGTAGCGCGAATGGTTCGGTACGACCGGGGAAGAACCACACCCACAAAATACCAGCGTGAAATAACTACTTGATGTTGCGTTTAGTATGGTGAGTGTACTGAACCGGAGACGAATGTGTCGGCACGACAGGAGAAGGACCAGATTCTTACAGAAGACCAGTGTGGAATAACAGCTTTGTGCTGCTGCATTTCGTACTGTCTGTGGGACACAGCATCCACTTATCGACATGTGGATTGTGCGTTCATTTGTCACCCTTATTCCATGGAAAAAAAAACTATGTTAAGCTTGCGTACGTGCGTGTGCGTTTGTGTGTATGAGCGGTATATTATACAGTATGCACACATTCATCATGCATAAACTGTTTGTGTGTGACACAGAACAATGCACAGGTGTGTTTAAATTCATATTATACATATACGTGCTTATGTATAATGTTTATTACTGACTGGCTCGCTAGTCATAAGTGTGGCTAACCAGGTTCGGGCCATAATCAGTTATTTCGATTTTCTGACATGAAATTCTGTGTACCGGAGTCTGGAAGAGGGCGGTGTTTCTGCGCTTGATCTCTCTTCGGTTGTGTCCGATTGCTGTCCCAGATGAGTGAGGGAATAGAGAGTACGTACTCGTACACCTGCGTTTGCACGCACACTCGTACACTATAATCCTGTCCTGATGAAGATGACTAGTCTCCGTTGAGACTGGCCACCGTGATTGGAATTCGGTCGGACATGTTTCGGGAAGTATATAAAAGGGGTATTAAATTTATTTCAGCCGTCGTGTGAAAACTGGCCTTTTTAGCAATGCAAATTGATATCTAGTTTTAACGTTTCTCGAGATTATTTTATTTCTAAGAGGAGCCAACTCAATCTTTATTCTGGCAAAATATGTAAATAAATAACGCAGTTTATTGTATATAAAAAATATAATTCATTATTCGACAAATATTTCATATTAGAAAGTATGTTTTCCTCGGAAATAGAAATAATTCGAAGCAATGTATGTGAATGGGGGAATCCCGCTTTTCCGTTCATTCTGGAAACCTGGAACTGACGACTTCGTTTTCCCTTCCCTCATAACCTGTGGAAAGAAAAAAAACATTAGTTTACAAGTAGTCTTGAATATTATGATTGTAATATCTTTAAGCGTAAATTTAAGCCATATTTTGACTACAATCTCGCCGGTAAGTAGTGATGCAGTGTTGGTTGGACAGACGAACTTAAAAATAATTATTCACTTTTTTTCTGAAGACACTTTCATTGTATGTGTGATATATTCGGCGATAATAAGCTCAGAAAAATTCTTCCAATCCTCTGCTGTGGGCATTATTAAGACAATGGTTTGGTTAGTCCAGAAAATATGAATGTAAACCAGCTGGGTGTCTATAGGGAAATAGAATGAGAGGACTCACTTGTGCAAATATACAAATTGCTGTCTATAGAACACCGAGAGACTGGCAACTTTACACCTGTACTCAAGGCACAATATTTAAAAAAATCACGGAACATATACGTCCCACTGTTGGGAACAGGCCTCCTCTCATTTATAAAGTCCGTAACAGCAAAAGCAGTTTAAGTTTTCAAAGTTCAAACAACAGATATTTCGTAATATCAGTGATGGTTAATTTTTTAATTGGGATTTTAAATTGTTGTAGAGTTCAAGCGGTCAACCAGGGGTAGAGTTTGTTTTATGTCAAAATGTCCGCTCTTACAAGAGCTGTTTTTCTTAAATGACTTCTTTTTCTTCGTTATCAATCGTGCTGATTGATTATTTAAACTATATAGAAAATCCTTAAGTGGCGTTTTTCGATTATACGAATTCCTTTTATTGAAATTTTAGAAATTCACAAGGAATTTAATACTTAAAGATTTATAATAGACAATATTTATATATTCATTCAATGGACAATATTTTCACGTTTAGGTGAAAATATTGTCCATTGAATGAAGACAATCATTAATTGACATTAAAATTTTCTCTAGTTTAATTTTACGTCGTGTTAAACGTGGTAGTGCCAAGCCGACTGTAGCTATATTATGGTTGTAGCACGAATGGGTCGGCTCGACCACGTTCTCACAGAACACCAGCGCAAAATAGCAGCTTAATACTGTTGTGTTTCGTATGGTGAGTGTAGAAAAGCGGAGACCCTTTTAACTGGAATCGAGGCATTCCATCTTAGTCCTCATGGGTGACAACGCATCTGCATTTCGATTCTTAATCGAAGATAAATGTTAGACGTCTATGGGCCACCATCATCCACTTATCACCAGGATCGTATGCTTGTTTGTCACCGTTATTCTATAATTGTTATTTTATGGTTGCAAAACACTGGAAAGTTCGGGGAAAGGATACTAAAAAAATATAATTCAGTTCCATTCAACTGTTCAGGTAAGGGATACAGCCTAATTCATTAATTCATAGGATATTTGCCGTAATCGCCACGCTCCGCAGGGGTGATGGCAAACGCAGTTGTGAACGTGGAAGGAAACGGGGAGATCTCCCGCCGGGCGTGGTGTTCAGCCGGTTCAATGCTATTCTATATAGAATGACTACCTCGTTGGTCTAGTGGTTGTAGTAGTGCGGCTGCTGATCATGAGGCCCTGGGTTCGAATCCCGGGTCGGGCCAACAAAATCAACTATTGAGTTTTTCCGTCAAGAAATTCTCAGTAGCTGCCCGGAGTTAGGCAGTTGGCGGTGTCTCACCCCCGTGCCTCGGAAAGCACGTAAAGCCGTTGTTCCTGCGCCTGAGCTCTCTCCGGTCGTGTCGGTTTACCGTCCCATCGGATTATGAGAGTGAGGGAATAGAGAGTGCACCTGTGCTTGCGCATACACTTGGGCACTATTATCCTGTCTTGCGCCAATAGCTAGCCTCCGTTGAGGCAGGCCGCCGTGGCCGAATTTCGGTCTGGAGGACATTATCATTATTATATATACTGTTTTACTTCGGAACTTTAATAGCGCGATTTAGGCTACGATGTGTTTCGCTTGTGGCGCGACGACAGCGCCGCCACACAGTTTTTATTATTTTAAGTTGTATATATGCAGCTGCTGCTCAATATCTGTTTTTATTTATTCTCTCCTGTTTCATTTCTGAGGGGGTTTAATAATATAAATAAATATTTTTTCTGCACACCAAAATAAAGTCTATTTTACATATGTAAAAGTATTTACTACGCATATATATATGACTGTCATTGGTTTACGTTGATCTTAAATATATATACAACACCGTAACTATCTTTCCATTGACTGTATTCACAAATAAATAAATGAATTTGAATTTGTACTCCGTTGAAAGCAATTCCTAGATTTCTCTCCCTCTCCCTTATAAGTTCATCAACAGGGTATTGTCATAGGGCTAGAAACACTACTCACCTAGCATCACAAACACTGTTAGGACAACGGTGGGGACGCGAACACCTCGCTACCTCTTTTTGTCGTGAAGAAGTCCTCATGGATAACTTCCGCAGTGGGGGCAACGAAAAAGCTACGCTTAACTCCTACAGGCTAAAAGCCTATGGTGGTCACCATCAGCGTATATGAGGTGCCATCATACACCGGGTCCCTGGGCGGTTCTCACCACCCAGAACATCAAACGGTAAGAGTTAGCCGACAAAGCTGAGGCTCGCCTTGATTTATGGCTCTACCGTACGGTGAGAAAAATATATAAAATCATTATTACAGGTAAAATAGTTTCTGAACATTATGTCGAATTTTATCATTGGAAATTTGAAAGCCACAGAAGGCTTGGCAATCACATCGCGATAATAATATCTGACATCTTTGATACGAAAGAAAAATGTATAGGTAACAGTTGTATGCACATTTAGGACCGATTTGACCGAAACTAGTACCTAATACAAGAATAGTTTTTCTTAATTCGTTCATCAATTACAGTCTATAAAAGAATGCTTGGCTGTCCACCACTGTGCGTTTTACAAGGAGTTTCTTGTGGTCTATCACTGGCGAAACGAGATTATTCCTTTTTAAAAGGCCGGCAACGCACCTGCTATTCCCCTCGTGTTGCAGTCGTTCTTAGGATCTTGGGCAGCGGTCGTCACTTACCATCAGGTGAGCCGCGTGCTCGTCTGTCCTCTCCTCTATGAAAAAGTCCACTGCTGAGAATAGTGGTAATAATATCCACTGACCCATATCATACTGTGGGAATAAAATCAGGAGATGAACAGGAGCGACTTCCTAATAACAACTAGAAAATAAAAAAACTGTTGTTGCCAATCCGCCTTTCAAGCGTGGCAACAATAGCAAATGTCTCATACGTGGCAGAGCCACGGTGCATCTATTATGGTTGTAGCACGAATGGCTCAGCTGGACCGGGGTAGGACCAAGTTCTCACAGAATACCAGCGTAAAGAAGAAGCTGAATGTTGCCGTGATTCGTATGGTGAGTGTGGAGAACCGGAGACCCATTATAATGAAAACGAAGCATTCCATTTTAGTACTAGGGGTAACAACGCATCTGCATTTTGATTGTTAATCGCGGATAAATGTAAACGTCTATGGGTTACAGTAACTCCTTACCATAAGGTGGACTGTGAGCCTGTTCGTCACCCTTAAGGTAGGACCGCCCTAGGCGGAACTGCACCGCAGCGGAACTGAGCGACACGAGCTGGTCAGTTAGTTGATCAACTTTGCTGCGCAGTTCTGCTGCAGTGTAGTTCCGTTGCCGCTTAGTGCGTATTGTCTCATATAATTTCATATAAAGAATATTTTGACGCGTCGTGTCGCTCGGTTCCGCTGTGGTGCAGTTCCACCTAGTGCGGTCCTACCTTTATTCTAGAAAAAATAACCCACATATTTTCTATTATTATTTCTCAGATATGCGGGTTCCCTCACTCACAATGTTACAAAATACATAAATAAATGTACATTCTGTCTGCGATATTGAATTAACTGCCTTAGTTCATTAAGCTCTTAACTAAATGGTGGGCGGGGTTAAAATGCATGGTATCTCAGCCGAAATCACGTGCGAAAGGGATAAACGCTGTGATGAGCAGTAAGAAGCTAGTGCGCACACACATGCGCACTCTTGAGTGACGCAAAGCGACGGCGTCATCGCGTACCTACATATTGCGATTCTTTTTTGAATGGCAACATAAACTCAAACCGCAATTGAAAGCTCCATGGCGCAGTGGCTGCGCTGTGGTCGCGGGTTCGAATCCCGCACGGAACAAATATTTGTATGGCCTACAAATAGTTGTTCCCGGTCTGGATGTTTGTCCTTGTGCAATTTATGTTTGTAAACTGCCTCCACGATACAGGAGAAAATCTTACTGTGGGGGTAACGTATTTTAAAAAGAGAAAAGAGAGAGAAAACAAATTGGTGTTATTATTATGAACCCAATTTAGTTGTTATTATGAAAGTTCTTGTGTGAATTTAAGTAGATGTTGTTATTATACAATAATTTCATTGATTTGTTTTTACCTACTTTTTAACCGACTTCGAAAAAAGTAGGCGGTTCTCAATTCGTTGTTTTTTTGGTTATGTATGTTCTGTTCCCCGATTTCTCGAAGATGTCTGAACCGATTTGGAAAGTTATTTTTTGGTTTGAAAGAATATAATTTCCAGATGATCCCATGGTAATCGATGATGGTCAGATCAGGATCTGATGATGGGATCTTGGAGAAATCGAGGGAACTCTTCAATAAATGACAGCAAATCAACCGCGATTGCTGCTATCGCGTATCTATGAATTCTTTACGCAACTACACAGTATAATATCACGCCTGTACCCACTAAAGGCACATAACTCTCAACTAAAAATAATAACTTTAAAAAAATAAAAAAAATATAACCGACTTCTAAAACAGAAAAAAGTGTAAAATAATTATGTTTTTTTATGTTTTTGTATTTTATTGTAGGTTATGCAAACATTACTGTAGGTACTATGTATTCTAAATAGGTATTTACTTACCATAGCTAGTTAGCTATAATAGCCCACAGGCAACTCCCCGAAGTATATGCCAGCGAGTGTCAGGATAACTGCTTTTTCGACAGCGCGACTGATGTGAGTGGGGCTTTTATGTAGGTTAATTAAATAAATAAAAATGTTAGTTTGTAAA